GTCCGTAAGATACAAAGGAGGTTCTATAGGTCTTAATAAGCTAAGCTTTTTATTTTTTAAAGGACTTAAAATAATAAAAAGAAAACTTGTCCTGTATTCTTTCCTTGCTATCAGTTAATTCATTATCAAGAAAACAAACAATAACAATACAATTTGATCCCATTAATTAAATCAAGGTTAAAAAAATAATAAACAAGGCGGTAATTTATAGAATGCCTTTATCAAAAAAGGTTCGTCTGTTAGTACACAATGCTATGTCTACCTACTTTAATATACGGAAGTGAGAGTTTTATATAGTAAGTATGCGCATATAATTAATATCGTTGAAATGCCGTCTCAAAATTGTTAGTACCGCAATGAGATGTAAATTAAACACTAGGAAAAAGTTTACGTTAAACTACTGTTAAAGTAGACATCAAATAACTCTGAGTGCGGCAGCTAGTGAACTAACTTCATTGAGAAAATATTTACCTTAAAAGACATTCTACGGATACGTTTTAAGAATTTTTGTAGTTCATTTACAGTGAATGAAAGTGAAAGTTATACTACGTAAGGCAAACTATAACCGATCTTACGCAGACCGCTATTTTTTGCCTTTCAAACTTAAACTTAGCTTAGTAGGCTTCCACGGCCGAAAATATAATTCCATTTTCAAACATATCATCCCTCTCATCCTTCTTATAGTCTTTGAAAAGCTTACCAAATAGGATAATTAAAAGCCACAGAGTAAACAACATTCTGGTGTCCAGATAGAGTTTTAATTTCAGTGCCGGAGTCCACGTCCCATATCTTGCATGTCCTGTCATAGCTGCCAGTGATGCATCTAAACAAAAATTAATTTTAAAAATTGTTATCACGTCTTTAAGCGCTGCAGAGGTGTAGATAGAGGCTTGTTTTTCTTGTAATAAAAGTTAATCATCAAAAATTATTTTTTTATGTTTTGTCTTATAACATAAATCTTTGTTTATTATAGTATTTTTAAAACACCTAATGCCAATTTCCCTAGGTAAAACAGTAGCCCTGAACGTGTTAACATTTGATCTACAGATGACTCTTAAAGTTTGCCATACTAACAAACATTTGTTATACGACGTAAAATTAAAATTCACCTGTTGCCCGCTCTATCAAACGAAACATTGGTCACAGGTAACAGATGTGTGACCAATGTCTTGTATATGTAGAACCTCTTCCCTGCGGGTCCTTCGTGTTCGATCCTCTTCTTGAGCGTCTCCAGGCACTGTTGCAGCTGCTCCAACACCTCCTCTGTTATTAGAACTTCTTTCTGTTTTATTTCATTTGCTATCACCTTGACATCTGAACTGAAATGAAGAAGCATAAATAAGAGTTCGGGAGATTCAAAGAAAGAATTAAAAAATATTTGAAACGAGTTATAGAATCTGTATCTTATAAAAGACTATAATAATCATCATCAGCTCACTATATGTTCCCACCGAGGGGCTAAGAGCGTATCCTTAGTTAGGGCTGATTAGGCTATAGTCAAACTACGCTGGCCCAATGCAGGTTAGTTGACTTCACACAAATCTCTGAATCTCTTATCATATATGTGCAGGCCTCATAATAACTAGGGTTATATACGTTAAGGTCATATAAAATATACATAAGCAGTTGGCTTAAACACAACCGGAAGACACAAGAAGGAGGAAGGCAGAAATACGTCTGGACTTACTTGCTATCTAACTCCAATAGGTCGATATCTTTATTCCTGACAATTCCCTTTTTCGTGTACTCCAAAGTGATCCCCGGCGGGTGATATCTTAAGTGAAACTTTAATAATTTCATGTTTAATATTTTAAAAGTTGATACACATCATAAAATCGTTCAAAAGACGTTTGATTAATTTGTCAATACAACGGTTGCTAGGAGAAATGTAATCTGGAATTTTTATTAACGAAACATTTTACAAAAACATCTTATTGTCCTACTCATTCTTTTTGGAATAAAAAGAGATAACAATAGACTTGGCTTTTGCTTCGACACAAAATGTATTAGGTAACGTCTAACGTGAGTTGGGTTGCAATATTTAAAAATATTAAATAGAAAATGACAAAGATAATATTATCAAGCTATTTTTGGAAGGAGAGTTAATAAAAGTATGATTACTTTAAAATAGTAGAATTAAGAGCTTGTCTATGTTGTTGGCAATGTAGCGCTAGTGTGTACTAGCCCTTATTGCAAATGTAAGTGCATGAGTCAAGCAAGTGCGTGCAAGGTACGCGGCTGTAATACTGTAGCAGCCTTTGCACAACTGATAGGTTGTTGTTGATGTTCTGTAGTTTTGTAATATGACGAAACACAAGCAAAACTGTCTTTACTTAACCGATCGATGTTTCAAATCGAAACATGTGTATTTTTATGATAAATTTTAGCTAGTATAATAAATTTTAAATAGTCGGTACTATAGAAATTATGAAAACTCTTTTGGTTTACATTCAGACAGTAACTTGTGAATTTCCTATAAATTTTTACATATTTAATAACTGTTTTCTTTCAAGTAAATTATTTTTCAAAACATTTCTTTACCCTATAGTAACATAAAATACTTCTTTGGTCGTATAAAAAGCTCTTTCCGATATGCCTTGAAAAAAGGTACACAAAAGGGTTGTCGGTGTCCTACATCTCGCTGTACCCACTG